AAAAAAAAACGTTTTCGAGGTGAGTAACATAACGTTTTACATATTTTTTTTAAAACCTATTGTTTTGTCCCCTGAGCTAAAAAAAAAAAAAAAAAAAGGAATTGTTGTTGTTAGGTTAAAAACGTCAGTTAATTATTATCATTATCGTTATTATTATCATCATTATTATTATTATTATTGCGTTTTATTGTTTTGAAAACTTTACGTTGAAATTCGAGAATGCATGTAATAAAAAAACACAAAAGAAAAAAATTTTCTTTTCAGTTTTTTTCTTACATATTTTTCCCAATTTTCTACCACCGCTTGTCGAAACGTTTTTTCAATTATTATCATTATTATTATCATTATTATCATTTACGTTATTTAAGAGAATTTAAAATTCGAAAAAAAAGAAAAATTCGTCACGTTGCCACAACCTGGCAAATGTTTTTTTTTTTTTTTCACGCGCGTGATGATAATAAGTTAAATGAATTTAAAAAAAAAAAATTTATTATTATTATCATCATCATCATCATCATCATTATTATTATCATCATTATCATCATCATTATTATTATTAATATTATTATTATTATAACTTTTATTACGTTTTTTTTTTTGTCGAAAATTAATTCGCATGCGTTTTGTTTTTAAGTTTTTTATTTGAGGGGATTTTAAATGTCGTGGAAGCAGATTTTTTTTTTGTATCCAAAACAATCAAAATGGCGGCGGAATGAAAATTTTTTTTTCGTTAATTTCGATTTAAAAAAATAAAAATAAAAAAATAAATGAATTTTTACTTATTATTTTTTATGACTTGAGATTATAAAAGTTGTTTTGTTTTTCTTTTTACGTATCGGAAAAACAGGATGGGGGGAAGTAGGTAGAAGGAGAAGAAGAAGAAGTGGTAGAAAGGCAAAAGAGGAAAAGCAAAATGGCGGATATTTTTCTTTGAAAATTGTAGTGGTATAAATAAAACCGCGAGAAAATTTAAGGTCAAGATCATTTTGAGGTCACATTTTAATTTTTTCTTCACACAGAGTATTTTATGTTTAACAAAAGAAACAACAAAAAAAACGAATCAAAAGTATAAGAAAGAGAGCTTTTGTCGATTGTTGTCGGTTGTCGGTTGTTGTTGATTGTTGGTTGTTGTTCATCATCACGTTGAATAATATATTTTCGATGCGAAAAATAAAAAAAAAATTTTTTTTTTTTTTTTTGTTCGTCACGATGATTTGTTTTCGTGTTTCGTCCTGTCTTTTGTTTTTTTCACTCTCTATGATTTTTTTTTTTTTTTTTTTTATAGGTTGGCATTCTGCAATGACAAACGGATCGTAATATTCCATAAAAGGTTCGACAAGACAATGTACATACAAGGGAGCACCACGTCAGGTACAAAAAAAAAAAAAAAAACGCATAAAATTTTTTTTTTTTTTTCTTTTAAATTATCATTATCATCGTCATTGATGTCGTCACGTTTCGAAAAATCGTTTTTATTATTATTATTATTATTATTTCTTCTGCTTCCGAGAGATTTTTTTTTGTTTTTTTAAGAACGATGATAATGATGATAAAAATTTGTTTTGGAAAAGAATAATGCCATTTTTATTTTATATATAACTATTTATTTCATTCGTTTGAACACAAATTGACCGAGTCCAAGGACTTTTTTTTTCTTTTTTTTTTTTTTTTTGTTATGTTAAGAAAACATGACCCGAATGAATAATAATAATGATAATAATAATAATAGTATGCCGGTAACGAGGAAAAAAAAAAAAAAAAAAAAAACCGCCGTGTACTATTCATAACAAACGTCATTGTATTGAACTTAAAAGAAAAACAACAAGATGGATTCGTTCGGTTTTTTTATTTTAATTATTTCATCGTTTTATTATTATTATTATCATCATTATTATCATCATTATTATTATCATTATTATTATCATTACCATCACCATTACGTTTGGCATTACAAAAGCGAGTTTCGCTAATTGGTTTCGATGCGTAACACAAAAAAAAAAAAATGGCGAAAAGATTTTTATTATTGACGCGTTGCGGGGCAGTAAATATATGAAAAATGAATAATGGCGATCTTAACTGATGATAATAATAATAATAATAATACACCGTGCGTTTGTTTTGTTTGTTTGTTTGTTCGGTTGTTTGTTCGTTCGGTTGTTACTCGAGAAGTAGGTTTTTTTTCGCGGGGTTTGAAAATTATCCCGGTAAATTATTATTATTTACGCGACGCTTTTCGGATGAAATTTCGGGGGGAGGGGGGAGTAAATTTAAAAAAAAGAAAATTATCATTATTATTATTATCATTATCATCATTATCATCATCATCATCATTATTATTTTATCATGGACGTGGAAAAAAAAAAAAATCATGCGATGGAAACATTACGAAAAAATATGTATATATATATATATGTAAACCGATCGTGTTTTATTTAGGTCGTCGTTAATGATTTCCCCCGCCCCCTGCCCCCTCCCCCCCAAAAAAAATTGGGTTCTTTAATTATTATTATTATTATTACGATCGTTGCCATTGTTCCCGTTATTTATTTATTTATTTTTTATTAATTAATTGATTTATTTATTTATTCATTCACATTAAGTCGGCACAAGAAAATTTTGTGTTTGTGAGGGCCTCTCCGTCGAAGGAAACGTGAAAAATTTCTCACGATTTTCATGATTTTCCACGTAGGGGTAGGGAGTGGGGGTGGCGACGGAGGAGGAAAAAATTTGCGAAAAAATTCATCGAAAGTTTCTTTTCTTTTTTTTGACTCGACGTGAGAACGCGGTTGAATGTTTTTTTACTCTATGAACTCGTTACGAAAAAAATGTTTTTTTTTTCTTTTCTTCTTTCACGTTTCGTCGTGGCTGTAGTTATTATTATTATTAATTTATTTTTAAAATTTTTCGTTCGAGTCCATTTTATTTTGTTCTTTTAGTCTTTTTCTAAAAAATTTTTTTTTTTTTGTACAGGAGAGTAATTTTCGATCGTACTATTTTTTTTTTCAGAACGACCACGTGATTCGTTTGTTGACATTTAATCTGACAATTATATAAAGTGCAAACGGGTTACATCATCATCATCATCATCATCATCATCATCGGTAGTATATATAATCTTATCGATAATAATTTATCGTTTTTGGTTACGAAAAAAAAAAAAATTGGAAATGGCGGAAATATTATTATTATTATTATTATTATTATTATCATTATTATCGTAAGGTAAGTTTTCCATTTTTTTCTTATTCTTTGGAAAAGTTGAAACAAAAGAATTTTAAAATAAAAACTCGATTTTATTATCGAGTATTTCGAGATATTCGACCTTGTCGAAACATTGTCTTCCAGGTTTTCATACAAAAATAATAATAATAATTACAGACAATGGAGAAATAAAAAATAATAATGATAATAATAATAATAATAATAATAAACATGTACGGAAGTCATATTTGTGAAGGAAAAAAAAAAAAAATTAAAAACGTTTGTTTGTTTGTTTGTTTTTTCAATCGATCGAAAAGGGTTTAAGGGACAAAAAAAATTTTTTTTTTTAATTTCAAAAGTTGGCAGCCGTCTCGTAGTAACAGACGAAGGAAAAAAAATAAAATGTCGAATTTTATTTTTTTTTGTTTTTTCTCCCCATTTTAAATCATTACGATCGATAGGACGAAATTATTTATTAACTTAAAACTACCCCGAGTTCGTT